ATGGACAGAGGAGCCTGGAGGGCTACAGTCCATAGGGTCACAAAAGAGTCAGACATGACTTAGTGATTAAACAATTCCTCTCTTCTGTTGTATCATTCCTGTTACTCATTTCACTTACAGTAAGCATGCATGTGTGTGTATGTGTGTGTGTGTGTGTGTGTGTATGTGTATGTATATATTTGAACACATTGTTGCTATTATTATTTTGAATAAATTTTTATGTTAGATCAATCAAGAGTAAGAAAAATAAAAGTTTTTATTTATTTTCACTTATTCCTTCTGTCAAGATCTTTATTTAGATCTGAGTTTCTGACTTAACCCAGTTTCCTTCTCTTTGAAGAACTTATTTTAAAATTTCTTGCAAGGCAGGTCAACTGACAACAAATTCTCTGTTTCTTTAAGTCTAAGCAAATGTTTCTTTCTCCTTCACTTTTGAAGGATAATTTTGCAGGATACAGAATTCCAAGTTGGTGGTATTTTTCTCTCTGTACTATTTCACTTCACTCTCTTCTGAGAATAAGTTGGAGGTAATTTTTATTTTTGCTTCTCTGTAGATAAGTTGTTGTTTTCTTCTGGCTTCCTTCAACAATTTTTAAAATTTACTTTTGATTTTCTGAAATTTGAATATGACATACCTAGTTTTTTGGCATTTATCCTGCCTCATATTCTCGAAGTTTCCCCTGGATTTGTGTTTTGTCTAACATTTATTTGGGAGAAATTCTCAGTCATGATTGCTTCAAATATTTCTTCTATGTGTTTCTCTCTTTCTTTTCCTTCTGGTATTCCCATATCGCATGTTACATCTTTTGTAATTGTCCCATGATTTTGAATATTTTGTCCATTTTTCAGTCTTTTTTTTTCTTTGCTTTTCAATGTTGGACATATCTATTAACACGTTCTCAAGCTCAGTCTTTCCTTAGTGATGTCCAATCTACTAATGAACCTATGAGAGACATTCTTCATTTCCATTGCAATGTTTCTGATCTCTAGCATTTCTGTGTGAGTCTTTCTTAGAATTTCTATCTTTTTGGTTACATTATCCATCTGTTCTTGCACATTACCTACTTTTTCCATAGTGCCCTTAGCATATTAATTACAGTTATTTTAAATGCATGGTTTGATAATTCTAAGATCCCTGGCACATCTGAGTCTGAATCGCATGCTTGCTGTCTGTTCAAATGACTGTGTCTTTATTTTTTTGCCTTTTATTATGGCTTGTAATTTTTTTGTTGTTGAAAGTTGGACAAAATATATTTGGTGAAAGAAACTCCAATGAATAGGGCACTTTTAGTGACAGAGTAGTAAGGTAGTAGTAAGGACGGAAGGATAGTGTTGTACAGTCACGTGACTAGGGGACTTCTCTGATGGTCCAGTGGTGAAGACCCCACTTGCTTCTAGAGTTAGGAGTGCATATTTGATCCCTGATCAGGGAATAAGATCCACATTCTGCACAGCACGGCTGAAAGATAAAAAGAAAATGTTTAGAAACAAAAAATACAGTCCTATAACTAAGTCTTAATTTTTTAGTGACTCTTTACCCCTGAGCTTGTAAACTTCACAAGTGCCTCTCAATGCTCCCCCCACTATCCCCTTAAATGGCAACTGATGACATAAAGGGATCGGAGTTGAGTATTTCCCTTCTCTCAGGTCATTTGGACTCTGATAAAACCTCAGTAGGTTAGGCTCATGTAAAATAGTTTCTCCCGAGTGCAGGGCTTGTTAAGAGCAGAATGCTCTGGTATTTTTTGAATGGCTGCTTTTTGCCTTCTCCCATAGGAATCACCACACGTCCCTGGTAACGCTAGTGGGAAAGAACTGCCTGCCAATGTAGGAGACGCAAGAGACAGGGCTTCAGTCCCTGGGTAGGGAAGATCCCCTGGAGAAGGGCCTGGCAACTCACCTCAGTGTTCTTGCCTGGAGAATCCCATGGACAGAGGAGCCTGGCGGGCTATAATCCATGAGGTCGCAGAGTCAGACGGGACAGAGGATTTTTTTGATCTTCACTAAGAAAATCTGGCAGAACTATAGGGTATAAGACTCACAAAAGTAAGCTCCCACCATCCCTCCTTTCTCCCTGCACCGAGTTTTTATATTCAGGCCTGTCCATGCTAAGCCTCCATATTCTCCTCAGTTACAGTTCATGTTTTCCTATTCCAGTACTGGTTCCACGGAGGTTTCTACTAGAGGTTTTGTGTTTTTTTCTCCTGTTCTGGTAAATTGTGATTCTATTGGCCTGTCTCTCCCATTTTTGGAGCAGTGACCTCACTCAACAGACCTAAGAATACTTGATTTTTCAGTGTCTTTGGTTTTTTATTTGATGTTAGGACCTACTGATAACTTCTAAGCCCCTCATGTGACTGGAAATTAAAACAATTCGATTTGTACTTTAAAAATATAACAAGCATTTTAATACACACACACACACACACACACACACACACCAGGCCCTTGGCAGTGAAAGCCGAGAGTCCTAACCTCTGGACTGCCAGGGAATTCCCACTATAACATGTATTTTAAACCACAAGTCCTGATAACTCTCTCACCACACACACACACACACACACACACTCTACTTATTGCTTTTTAATCCTGATTATTTTCCCCTTTTAAATTTTGCACTCCTCATGGTTTTGACATTGCAACCATGTTTTAACTTTTCACATAGATTAGACAAAGTAGCTTAATTAGAACAGATATTTCTAATCCTGGATTATGGTGCCACCTTTTTTTTAATTAACTCAAGATAAAACAGCTGATAGAGAACATAAGATAGACTGTTTTCTGTTTGAACTGGAGGTGTGAAATGTGAGATGTATATGTGAGTTGAAGTTTATGTTTTAAATAAAATCTGGACTAATTTCAATAATATCTCTCCTATAGTCAGTATGGGTCGTTCATTTGGCAAACACCAAACACCAGTTATTTGCAGGATAGAAGATACTGGGGGTACAAAAACTAATATAGTATGTTACTTTTATTGTAATTTAAGGCGTGGTGAGTGAGGCATGTAAGGAAGACTGTTAATGTAATGAATGCTCTGATATGGGTAAGTTCAAGGTGCAGTGGGAGTGTAATGATAGCTGGTTTATAAATAATCTTTTAGCAGTCCATCTAGCTTTAACCTATGAACCCTTTATGATCCTATGAACCTAGGCTGTGTCAGGCAAATCCAATTGATTTTGCCTTCATACTAATTTCCCTATTCATCTTCTTCTATCCTAAGTGGTTACCTTGCAGACAAACATCACTTTTTCATACATTCAGTGCACCACCGAGAAGGATATTTTTAAAATGTAAATCAGAGTAAAAAATGTAAACCAGATCAAAGTACTTTTATACTTAAAACTCTCCAGCAGTTTATCATCTTAAGAGAGTAAAAGTTAAAAACTCCTTGCTAGGGGTCCATAAGGTCCAAGTGACCTTGCCCTACCCACCTCTGACATCCTCTATCAAAACTCTCTCACACTTATTTATTGTACTTCAGCTACACTGGCTTTTTTTTTTTCTGATTATTAAACACACGAAGTTTGTATGAGCAATTAGGCCTCTGCAATCTCTCTCCTCAGTGTCTGAAACTCTGCCCACAAACCTTTACATAGCTGTTGTTCAGATTTCAACTTATATGTCAGTTCCTCAGCTTGACCTTCTCTGACCAGTCAGTCTCCATTCTGAAAACTGCTTGTCATGGATATTTACTTACGTATGTATGTGTGCAAGTGTGGATGGGTCTGTCTCCCCGACTGTAAAGTAAGCTATATAAAAAATATATAGCTTAAAATCTAAAGGATATTTTATATTTTAAAAATATAAAAATAATATTATAAATTATTTTAAAATAATAATTTTAAAATTGTAAACAATTTTTTTATGACTGTAAAAAATATAAGGGATATTTTCTCTTTTATTCATTCCGTATCTTTAAGGTCCAGGATTGGTATATGCTAGTTACTCATAAAATAGTGGTTGAAAGAATGTATGACTTTCATAAACTTTGTTCATAGATCCTATAACCCTTTGAAGTTATCTTTTTCTTGTATTTAGCTGCTTATTTATTGTCTTCCTCCCACACACCAATCTGATAAGGGCAGCATCTTGTCTGCTTTACTCATTTCTGTATCTCTGGAGTCTACAGAAGTTCTTGGCATATAGAGAAGTGGCGTTGGTAAAGTGAAAGTGAAGTTGCTCAGTCGTGTCCGACTCTTTGGGACCCCATGGACTGTAGCCCACCAGGCTCCTCAGTCCATGGAATTTTCCAGGCAGAACTACTGTAGTGGGTTGCCATTTCCTTCTCCAGGGGATCTTCCCAACCCAGGAATTGAACCTGGGTCTCCCGCACTGCAGGCAGACTCTTTACTGTCTAAGCCACCAGGGAAGCGTTGGTAAGTCTGTGGTAAATGAATGGATAAGACAGTATATTCAATTTTCAAAGATCTTAAAATATAGAGTGGAGAGAAACAGGGCTGTAACAAAGAATAAGCAAGGGACTGTGAAATCTCCGGAGAAACTGAGATCAGGAAGGGCAAGTCTCAACCGTCAAGCCAGGAGTGTTGAGGTTAGATATGTACTTTGAGATGAAATTCTCTTACCAAGTGAGGGGGTCCGGTGGGTCCAGTGCAGAATCTAAAGAATTTAGCACATGGCAAAGAAGTTCTACTGGATATCCAGAAGATTACAAGCGATCAGTAAACACTTGTTGACTAATTGCTTGTCACATCTCTGGAAATAATCAGATTTAGGATAGAGACCTGGTCCACCTCTTTGATAGGTATTCGTACTACTGAACCACATTTCCCAGCATGCATCAGATTGGGGGTAGTTTTTTTAAATGGACTACAACTCCCGGCATGCTGCGTCCCGGCGGAGCGGACTACACGCCCCGACAAGCCAGGGCAAAGACTATCAGGAGGCGGGGCGAGGCGGGGCGGGGCGGGGCTGGTTGGGTTACTTGAGCCGGTTTGACGGAAGAAGCGGCGCGGCGGCGGCGGCGGCTGCGGCGGAGGATGGAGGCGGTGGTGTTCGTCTTCTCTCTCCTCGACTGTTGCGCGCTCATCTTCCTTTCGGTGTACTTCGTATCCTTGCCTGAGGCGGGCGGAGGCCGGCCTGGGGCCCTCCGTCCAAGGGACCGGGCTGGGGTTGGGCCCGTGTTGGGGCCAGGGCAGGGTCGAGGGAACGAGGGAGGTGGCCGGCGTCGGGCGCGGGTAGCCTGGGCGCTGGCACGGCTGGAGGCGAGCCTGGGCTGGGCCCAACTCTGCCCATCACCTGGGGGTCCGAGCGGGCCTTACTCTCGAAGCGCCCGGGCCCGGCCTGCCCGCCGCCTCTCGCCCCCCGCGACGCCCGGACCCGCTCTGCCATGCGCCAGCCCTGGCACTTGGCCTTTCCTTGTGGCCTTAGCGGGAGGGGGCCGCGGTACTTCCTTTTTGGCCCTCGAAAGAGAAGGATCATGGTTTGTCTTGCAGCTGCCCTGGGCCCGGCCCTTCGCCTGATGCCCGGGGTCCAGAGAGCGAGGGGGCCCACGTCCCGGGGGGGTCTCTCGTGGACGGTCCCGCGCCGAGCCAGGCGATTTGGCGCCTCTTGTCATTTTTTGGGCAACTCCCCCGCTGCCTGCCCCTTTGTTCTCGCGGGTGTTGGAACTTGTAGGGAACCTTTCACATCCCGAAGTTGACTCATTTCAAAAGCGGGTTAAGTGTTTCTTTCACGATGCGGTTTTGTAGGGAGTGCTGGGAACGGTTTGTTTTTAAAAACCAGCTACAGCTGATTATTTCGTTGCCCTTGTTGGTTGCAGATCTGTAAATTTCAGTATCTGTACACGTGATTTAATTCTCCGTCGTTTCTCAACTTTGTTTTCTCTGTCGATGCGTGTTTAAAACTTCTGTATTTTGTATAGCCTTTCGCGCTACAGTATTTTCCGGGCTAATAAATGGTCGTTGAACTCTAGGAAGCGTGTGGGGCTTCCACTTTGCTCTTGAGGAAGCTTTTGGTCTTAGTTGTCACCCAGTGATGACTTAGTTGTCACTTAGTGATGTAGTTAATGCACAATCCAATTTTAAGTAATGTAAACTAAGAAAAAGCATGAGAAACTCTTCATTTTATTTTTTCCCCTTGGAAATTATATGCGTCTCTTTCTGGCAGAATTAAACTTTTTGTTTGCCAGAGCATTCTGGCATTAGGATGGTTGTACAGAGTATTTTTCAGTGTGGCTTTATAATTTATTATGGACTGGCAACCTGTCGAACTGGGATGAGACAAAACTTGGAATCAAGACTCCTTGCTTAGCTAGTTATTTGCTATGCACATTGTTTCACCTCTCTAAGCCTCAGTTGTTTTGTTTTGTTTTTTACTGGGAAATGTTTACTTTCTAGATAGATAGGTGTGTGCTCGGTAGGGGTGTGTGAAGCATCTAGCAGCACAATGCCTGCCCCATGGCCAATGCTTAGTAAATGTTACTCTGCCTTCCCGCCTCAGCCCTCACTGAACAGCAGTTTTTGCTTTAACTGATGATTTCTGATGAAGAGAACCCTGACTTTTATTAGGCTTGGAGAACTTGAAAGTGCAGCATCCCTAAGGAAGTTTTTGGTGATCTACCTCTCCTGTGGTATAAGAAACTGGAGCTTAAGTTCAGAGAAATGAAACTTGGGTTTCTTTTATTGCAGTTTGGAAAACTAGTCTTGATAATTTAAAATAACCTTGTCTAGGGAATTCCCTGGCAGTTCAGAGGTCAGAACTCAGGGCTCTCACTGCTGGGGCCCTGGGTTCCATCCCTGATCCTGAAAGCCAGGCAGCACAGCCCCACCCCCCCAAAAAAGCCTTGGTTTATACAAATTTATGTACATAAGACACTTACTAGGTGGAGTTTTAGACTTAAACATTAAGATACATTCAGGATGAATTTTGATGAAATTCAGCATATTGTATTTTTGAATAGTTGTACAAGCTTAATACTAGAGCCGAGAGGTAGAAAATCACCAGAGTATACATATTTTAGGAATAAGAGTTTTCCTGGACTTTGAACCTAGAAGAAAACATGCAGAGAAGGAAAGGGGTAGATATTCAAAATTAGACACAGTCAAGAGCAAAGGTGCAGAGACAGATGTGTTCATGGCATTTCTGGGTGATGGAGGAATAGGCTATCTGGAGCAAAAGGTTGACTTTTGGTGGCAGCCGAAGGTCAGGTTTGGAAAGGCTGGATTAGATTCAGTTTGGGAGGGTTTGACTGTTAAGGAGAAGGGCTTTCACTTTTATCCTCTAGGCAATGGTGAGTCATTGACAGTTTTTTGATGTAAACAAAGTGGTGTGTCCTGAAGATAAGTCTGCAGAGTAGGTTGGAAACAGGAAAGACTGGAAGGTAAGAAACCACTGGAGAACGGGTTCACTTGGATCTGGAGTGGGGTGCCACTTGTGGGCAGGTGAAAGGAGGGATTAATGTGAGTGGCATGAGAAAGAAATGATTGACAGAACCTGGTAACAGTTGATTCTGAGATAATGAAATCCAGAATCTGAGAATCTGGAAATCTGAGAATCCAGAAACAGCTTTCCATATTTTGAGCCTGGACAAATAATGCTTACATCATTGACGGAAATAAAACAAATTGGAGGTGGAACAGTTTGGGGAGAAAGTGATGATTTTGATTTTAGCTGTGCTGAGGTAATGGGGGGACTATCCATATGGAAATGTATAGAATTTACTTGAGAGCATTTCTTTTTACCTATTTTATTGGACACTTTCAAACATAAGAGTAGTGTAATAAATCCCATGTTTCTATTCAGTGATTTTCAACATTTTGCCATTTCTTTCTCATTTTTCTCCCAACTATTGTGAGGAGGTTGTGGGAGCATTTTAAAGTAAATACCACACATTGACTGGAAGACTTTTCCTTTTTTGTTTGTCTGTCCCTCAGATTTTTACTTGTGTGTTTATATTGTGTATTTATTTGTGTGTTAAGACCCATTTTTTCTGTAAGTCCAGTGTAATGTATGTTTACTGTGGAAAGTTTGGTCATAGGGAAAAGTTTTGGGAAAACAAGCTATCTGTAATGCAACTTTCAAAGCATAAACACTGTTAACTTATGACCATGCTGAATTTATAGTTTTGTGTCCTATTTTTTTAATATCTTAGTTTTCAGATATTTTATGGATATATCATAAACACTTTTTCTACTATTGGGAATTAAGTATTTAAGTATAACATTTAAACTATTTATGTGGGTCATATTTTCCATTTCTTGTAGCCACTGTTCGACACTTGAGGAATCCTGGTGGAATGTTCTGTTATGGGTCACATTAGAATTGTGCATAATAAGAGGATTATTCTGTGAAAATAACTTGTTGAAAGAACATAAATGAGAAAATTTAGTTGTCTAATAAATGAGCTTTAAGGAAAGAACTGAATCTTTTCAAGTCAAATCTAAATCTGCCTTGCAACTGGGGTTGCTTTCTGAAACTTAAATAGTTATTATAAAAGAAATCTAATAATTCCTTATCTTGATCATCAGATAATTACATTGTCTGATTTAGAATGTGATTACATTAATGCTAGATCATGTTGCTCAAAATTAAACAAGGTAAGACATTTCTTTCCTCGTTTTTTGGCCTTGAAGACAGTTCTCCATTTTCTGTGCTAGAGATTATTTTACATAGTCACCATATGTGTATTTGGTATACACTCAGATGTTGGTGGAGCTCCTGTGCTTTGGAATATTTTTCGATCATGAAAGCATACCAGAAGACTTAACTTGAAATTTTGTTTCTTTTACTCTTTTTCCTTGTCCCTTTGTCAGTTACTCAGACTAGTAAAGGTTCATTATCAGGTAATTGCTTTTGTCTTCTGTGTGCAAACCCCCTCCTTCCTGCTCACAGGAAAGAGCTCAGTCTGTCTTTTGTTAAATGAAAGATGACCTTTTTGTGGCTCGATGAGAAATTGAATTAGTTGATTTGTTTTCAGACCGTTTTATCTTTAGTATATAATCAAAACTTTATATTGACAATAAAACTTTGAACTTTCCAGCTTCTCTAAGTATGAGGAAACCAGTTGGTCCTGATTCATTTTATGAGATGAGTGGACAAAAGCTTTTTGGATATAAAAGTTAATGTAAAGTGGACTTCCTTGGCGGTCCAGTGGTTAAGACTGTGTGCTGTGCAGTGTGGCCAAAGAAAAAGTCCATAAAGTATTTATATATACAATAAAATACTTTATTGTATATAAAAATACAGTGCTGAAAAAAAATTACAATACTGAGAAACACGTTTTGGCTTGACCTAAAAATTCTCATGGGTCTTTTCACATCTTCAGTCTACTTAGTTTCTCTGACCCATGAGGGAAATAGAGTTATACTTGAAAAGTTACAATTTCTGTTTAAAAAGAAAAAAAAAGAAAAGTTACAATTTCTGGCAAATTATATTCCTCCTCTCCTCTCCCTTCCTCCCCTTCCTTCTTTCTTTCCAATTTTCCAGAATATGGTTTAATACAATAATAGCTTTAAGGAAAGGATTTTGTTTATCTGGTACGCTTTCAGAGTTCTTGTTTTTCCTCAATATATAATTGAAATATAACATTCATTAATTTCAGGCCTCCTCATCTTTATTTTTAATTTTTTTAGAATTTAAATTAATTAATTAAAAAAAATTAAAGTCCTCCTGTGTGCCAGGCAGGGTCTTCCCCCTTTTTAAAAAATTGGAGGGACCTCCCTGGTGGTCCAGGGGTTAAGAGTTTGCCTTTCAATGCAGGGGACACAAGTTCCATCCCTGATTGGGGAACTAAGATCCCACATGCTGAGGCAACTAAGCCCGCTAGCTGCAACTTACTGAGCCCATGTGCCTCAACTAGAGGGAAGATAAAATGTATTTTAAATAAAATATAAATTAAAAAAATAAAAAATTGGAGTGTGGTTGAATAGGCCTCTGCATCTTTAGAAGAATAATTTTTTTACTGAGAGGTAAATCTGTCTCTTGTGTGTGTATGTGTATTTCATATTTTTTGCTTACTCAGTATTTTCGGTGGCTATTTTGTGGGATTTCTTTTACAAAAATAAAAATTTAAATACAAAGAAAAGATTACCTGGGTTAGGGTTAGGGTTAGATTACCTATTGAGAAAGTGACTCCTTCAATTTGAAGTTAAGTGGTCTTTTTTTAAAAATGTTTTTGTGAAAGTTATACTTGCACACAGCTAAAGTCAGAGTATTAGAAAGCTCACAGTGAAAACAGCAGACCCTTCCTGACTCTTTAAAGTCATATGTGTCTTGCTTTTGAGGGGCAACTGATTTCAACACTTGAACTGTTAATTTTTTTCTGATATTTACATCCTTATTTCTCTATGTGCTTACAATGCTATTTCTTTCTTTCTTTTTTTTTTTACTGTACTGCATGGGTTGCAGGATCTCAGTTCCCCTACCAGGAATTGAACCCAGGCAGTGAAAGCCCAGAATCCTAACCACTAGGCTGCCAGGAAACTCCCACTACTTCTTGATTTATCAATTTTACAACATTATCTATCGACTTCTGAGTCAATATTGGTAGATTTTGTTCTTAGGTACCAACTTCTAAATATCACTCCTGTTTTTCTATTTTTGTTTGCAGGTAAGTTTATATTTAATGTTTATATCATGTTGTACTATAATGTTTTTTTATTACTGAGCCTTATGGCAGACAGTGATCATATTTTTCTAATTTTTTTTTTTTAAATAACTTGTCTTTTCAGATAACATCTTTAAAGTCTTTCAGTACTATTTTCTACATGGTTCAAACATAAAATAATCTATCAGTTTTTTTTTTTTTTTTTTCACCCCCCCATCAGTTGTTTTTTTTCAGGTGACATTTCTCCTCAAGACCTCCATCCTCTTGCTATAGTCTGCAGCGGTTGCTCTTAGACCTTTTCACAGCTTCCATTTTGGGACTCCTGGTTGGATCTCCTGATTCTTGGAAATCATGTCTTCTTTTCTCTTGGCTTACTACCTCATTTTGCTGGAGTAGCTTCTTGAGGTTACATGGTACATGGGAATTCAATTTTTTGAGACCTTGCATCTTTGAAAATGTCCAATCCTTTCCCTTGATTGACAGTTTCTCTGAGTATAGAATTCTAGATTAGAGAAGACTTCTTTTTTTTTCAGAGTTTGCTTGATCAATGTCTTTTAACTTCCAGTGTTGATCAAGTTGGGAAATCTAGTGCATTTTGATTTCTTGTCCTTTGGATGGGATCTCTCTCTCCTCTTTCCCCACACCCCCACCTCCATCCTTTCCAGAAGCTTTAGAATCTTTTCTTTATCCTTGGCATTATTTATTTATTTATTTGTGGTAATTCTCAGTGTTTTGGAATTTTGCAGTGGTATACCTTTGTTTAGGCCTTTTCACTCATTGCTTCATTCATTCATTGGGCTTCTGAGAGGTTCCTTCAGTCTGGTAAATTTTCTTCTTTCTCTGATAATGTCTTCCCCCTCTATTTTCTCTCTTTTCTTTCAGCAACTTGGATTTGCTGGATGTTTATCTGCTGGGTTGATCTGCCAGTTCTTTTTTCTTATTCTTGTCCCTTTGAGTTTTTTTCTACCTTCTTGTAAGATTTGCTGTTTTATCTTCTGTACTTTCTAGTATGTATATAGTTTATGTTGAACTTTTAATTTCTAAGAGCTTTTTGTTCTCTTGGTTCATACTTGACACTGTCTCTCTGGGATATTGATTATAGTAGTTTTTGAAATTTCCTTCTGCTTCCTACATTATATCTGTTTTTTCCAAGTTCCTTCCTCTTTCTTTTCCCCACTTATTTCATACTGAGGGCTTTCCTCAATTTCTGATATGTGGCAGGTCATACTTTATGGTAAAACACTAAAATACTCATTGGAAGCTCATTGGGCAGTGCAGGCTATTGACTGATAGGTGGACTTCACTGAGGGTAATTGGTTTCTGCCTTTTTTGGGGGTACCTGAAATGGCAGTTTTTGTAGGTGTTTTCTCTTGTGCCATTAAGGCACTCCAGAGAAGGATCCTTCAAACTCTTGCCTGGGTTATAACAAGCCTCGAGCTAGCATTCTGAGAACAAGTTAGGGGAAGAACACATTGTTAATGAGGGAAGAGAACAGAGGACTTGGTTGAAAGTCAGTAAACTAAGTATAATAAGGTCAAGTGTCGCTTCCTGAAACTTTTGTTTTAGGTTTATGTAAAACAAAGTGCAGCCCATAGTAAGAAGTTCAGTTTGAAAGCTACTGCTGTGTTGGTCTGATAACATGGAGGGGAGTAGCAGTAGTAACATCAGCTAACATTTACTGAGTGCTTATTTTGCATGTGGCTTATGTATGTTATTTGGTCTACTTCTCTATAACAACCTCTTGAGGTGTAAGTATTATTATCTCCATTTTACGAATGAGGAAATCATGATTTAGAGGGGGTAGGTAACTTCCTAAAATTGCACAGCTAATAAATAGGATAGAGCATGGGTTTTATTCCAGGTTTATTTGACTTTGCAGGTTACACATACTATGTGTATGTGTTAGTAGCTCAGTCGTGTTCCACTCTTTGAGACCCCATGGACTGTAGTTCTCCAGGCTCTTTTGTCCATGGAATTCTCCAGGCAAGAATACTGGAGTTGGTTGCCATTCTAGCATTATGTTAAATTGGTTACATTTTAAAAATACATTTACATATTAAAAAATGTCCTTGTTGATTGCAAATTAGGTTTAAGGCCCAGAAAATCACTTCTTTGTTTATTTAAAAAAAAAAGTAGCCAAAAAAAACTGTCTGAGGGAATAAATTCCCTGGTGGTCCAGTGGTTAGGACTGTGCACTTTTCACTGCCAAGTTGTGAGTTTAATCCCTGGTTGCAGAACTAAGATTCCACAAGCCTCCTAGCAGTGGGCCCCCAACCGCTGCTCCCAAATGTATTTAAAATCTAAATGCTGGAGACCTGGGGCCAGTGAGTCTGAGCTTCTGTTACATTGATTGCCCTGCCACTATGTAGTTGTGTGACCTCCGGCAAGTTTCTTGATCTCTCTTGAGTTTTATTTTCTTCCTTTCTGCAAGTTGGGAGTGCCAGTGTCTGGCTCCATAAATACTAGGTATTAACTTACATTAAAAGAAAAGTCTCAAAAAAAAAAAAAACAAAAAAAAGAAGAAACATTTTCTACACATAGGAGAGGAAGACTATTGGTGAATTGAGAGCCTGCCACTACTGTGGTACATGAGATACTGTGGTACATAAACCACTACTGTGGCTCTTGATATATGAGAACTAGAATATTACACAATAAAGAGCATAGATAAGGGCATTGGGTGCTATAAAAGCAATAGTCTGGGATTCTTTTATCCTGGTCCTTTATCATATTTGTTCAACTTGGAGCTGATATTGTAAGCTGTTAAAGTACTTTTTTTTTTTGGTAAATGTGAGATGATTTTCCCCAGGGTTCTGGAGCTTGGAAATGTATAGATAAATATTCTGACTTGAAAGGCAGCATGAATGTGAATATAAACCACTCCAAATTAGAGTAAGAGATTTTAGCACAGATATTGGAATAGAGAGTAAATAACATTCTGTTTTTTCTGTAGTTGTCATTCATACCTGCTTAGTGAATGAATCTGAACCTATGCTTAGGATAAAATGTAATTAAAGTTTAAGTGCATTATTTTTAAGCTGTGTCCTGATATATTTGCATAGCGTAAGCAGTGATAGCAGTATGCAAATCTGGGATATCTGAGTCTAAAAATAATCTTGAAATACTAGCTTGGAAGATTTCTGTACTCCTTTGATTTAGCTTCAAGTAACATGTACATTTAGGAAGAACACAGCATGAGATGTAATAACTATGTTCTTCCCTTGCAGTGGGTAATTCCAGAATTGGTTGGCCATACTCTTGTCACTGTACTAATGCTCATTTCATTGCACTGGTTCATCTTCCTTCTGAACTTGCCTGTTGCCTCTTGGAATATATATCGGTGAGTACTTTCTGTTTATTGTTTTGTTTAGAGAAAAAAACTTAAGATTTGACAGCTTTCTTTTCTCCAATAAAAATATGCTAGTCATAAATGATAGCAGAACATGTCATTAAATCAGCATACATTTTTATTCACTTTGGTATATTGGGCAAGTAGCAATTTGCATGGCTCAGTCTTGTAGTAAAAACACAAATTTACATGTGTAAGTTAAAAAAAAATTTAATGTTGCACTGTCTAAAGACTTGAGTTGTTTTTTCATTATCTACCTTTTTTCTTTATGAATAATCAAAAACCTGAGAATATAATATAAGGTCTTTGTTATTTATATCTGCAGCTTTTATTTTTTTTTTATTTTTTATTTTTTTGCAGCTTTTAATTATAGTGTACATGAAATGCTCTGAAGAAAATTTCATTTTAAATCTTGCATGTTAGATAATCTAAAAATGTTATCCAGATATTCATTTGTGCTACTAGGATTTGAGGGAGAATTTAAGATTTGTGGAACTCAGAGAGCCATTTGCATTTCGCAGAAGTCATAATTGAGAAACCTGATGGTGAGGAACCCAAGGTTGGACTAGAAGAAGCTTGGACATAAGAGAGGGAAGAGGTCATGAACAGTACTAGGTTAGGACATGCATGTTGTGCAGATGGTACAGTGTGAATGCTGAAGCTCAGATGCTTAAACTCACTGATGCTTTCAAAATTACCCAGTTTTCTTACATGTAAAAGGAATCATTGAGGAAGAAGATTATCATTTGTAATACTGTGTACACAGCGGTATTCTATAAATATGAAATGTTATGTTATCAAGAGCCCCATAGGCTTCACAGTATGTTAAATGCAGTGTCTTCAAGATGTTTCAAGTCTGAGTCTGAGTCAGTGGGAACACTGAATTGAATTGGTCTGGTTTGGGGACTAGGTATGTGCTTTCCATGCCCTTTGTCTTCGGTCCTGACTTTCTAGCCCTGTTCTCCTCCCCCCACTGTGGTCATATCTCCATCACTATAAAAAGTACAGTTCTTATTTGTCAAAACAGTATTATTTAATTTAATGTTTAGAATTAAATCTAAATAAAATTTATATTTTAATTAAATATAATCTTTTTTTTAAGAGTCATGTAAAGTTAGGCACTGTATTTGTGTCTGAACTATCCATTTATAGTCTTCACTGAAGAAGAGTTTTATTTTACCAAAGTAGTATTTATTCTAAATCATTTCTGTCTTCTTGAAATTGCTCTTTTAAGGTAAGTACTGTTTATTTACCATGCAGATTGAGACACATCTGTTGATCAGCAGGAGCATCAAATATGAGGGTTTTATTCTGGGCTTCCGAGGTTGCACTAGTGGTAAAGAATCTGCTTATGCAGGAGATGTAAGAGATGTGGGTTCTATCCCTGGGTCAGAAGGATTCCCTGGAGTAGGAAATGGCAACCCACTGTAGTATTCTTGCCTGGAGAATTCCATGGATAGGAGCCTGGCAGGCCACTTCATAGGGTCACAAAGAGTCGGTCATGACTGAAGCAGCTTAGCCTGCATTCTGGATATAGAATCTCTCTTTTTAGTGTCATCTGTGAAATGGGAATAGTTATGTTTGACACTACTCTTCCTTAGGTGAAGGGAATTGCATTAGTTAATTTAGAACTTTGTAGATGAAGAAGTTTCTAAGAATTTGATCAGGTTGGTTTGGTTTTTGTGGCTCTTTTCACTTGTCTAAAGGAAGACAGCTATAGATATTACTGATTCAGTAGTTTTCTACAAAAAAATGAGTGAAAGGGTCTTAGTACATAAAATATCCTTCTCTAGAATATTAGTGGATTTGTTTCAGAGGACAGGAATTATACCAAAAATTAATAGTATTGTATCTTTCAAAGGAAAACTTAAGTCATGACCTGTGATATCATTATAATACCCTGTCAATATATGGTCTGAATATAACTATGACTGATTCATTTTTAAAGTTTGATTATTACTGGTTACTTATTTTTCAATGTTTATGCTGATGGTTTGATTTTCTTTCTAATGTATGTACATCCTTTAATTTACCAGGTACATTATGGTGCCCAGTGGTAACATGGGAGTATTTGATCCAACAGAAATACACAATCGAGGGCAGCTGAAGTCGCACATGAAAGAAGCCATGATCAAACTCGGCTTCCACCTCCTCTGTTTCTTCATGTATCTTTACAGGTGAGTTTACAGTCCTCTTGGCACTTCCCCAGATGCCATGCCTGCTTCTAATGGGTGAGATATTACTGTTCTGTGAGATTTTATTTGGACATTGCAGAACTTTGGGGGTTATGTGAATTTCTTGTGACTTACGTAGGTTTTTTCTGTGTCATGTCATTGAATCAGCATTCTGTCTGACCTGCAGTAGTTACTCCATGTTATTAGTTACTCCTTAGCTGTTGAGGCTGTCCACATGCTTAAGACTGTCTTTGCTCTTCTTTCCCTGCCCTGTTGTCCAGTTATGAGGTCCTACTGCCTGTTTTAAGCATTTCTAAATGTACTCCCAGAGACTTTCCCACTCGTGGGTCTTCTGGGTGTCAGACTACTGACAGCAGTTCTCAACAACTTGTATCCATACTGGGCTGATCTTTCTTGGTGTTAGGGAATTTAGATGTGATGGCCTTCTCTCCAAGATGCAAGTGGTCTCTTCTGGTAAGACTGCATCAGTCTTCCAGTTAGATTGGAAGTAAGAATTAATATGAAGGATTAGCTGTCACACATTGCAAGCCTTATGCTGTCCTGTTTTAAAATTAAATTTATAAGTTGTAGAGATAACATGCCACTTCTTTCTTTACCCATTATAGACCCATAGGATAGACCAAAGAATAGAAAAAAAATTGTCATGTGTGTGTATGATTTGATTAAGCCTTTAAGAGGCTAGAAGTTAAGGCTTAACTTTTATATCCAAGCTTAATTGTATCATATTTGTTTTCCTGAGGTAAATTTTAATTTCCACATGGGCATAAGACTAGTAGGAAAAAACTTGTACTGAACTAAACTTCTGTCACTCAAAAGAGTCCTAATAATTGGAAATTGTACCTAGATAAGAATTTCTAAAAATTGCTATTTTTTTCTGAAATAGAGCCATTTTAGCCTCTGCCTGAAAAAGCAGGCTTCCTAAAATGCTTTTGCTCTGCTAATTACACCCACTAGCATAGATTAGGTTGAAATTAGAGTTTAGATGATTTCCTTTTTAGTATTTATTTTGTTTGCTTTCCTATATTTTAAAAAATAGGACCAAAACACACTAGTACCAGTTTCTGGTTCTCATACCTTATCTTATTGCTGATGTGTTTAATTTTTAATCCTAGCATTAAAGATGCAGTGACCCTAGCATAAAGAATAAAGAGCAAAGAAGTTTAATATTAAGAATACAATGATACATCTATTCTCATTTTTATTACTTTTAAAGTCAAACCATATGAAGGTATCATTACCATAATATATGTTCCCTTCTATTTGTCAGAGGCAAAAGGCAAGGTGGTTATCCTTTCTTCATCCTCCTCTCCCCTCCAGGTTTTATGCTTTTTGAGAGTAAACTAGAGTGGATGCCTCCTGAGTCTTGATAACATGAGCTTCTGGAGACATCTAGGGGCAAAGCCAGTGTAGCCACACTTCCGGGTGTAAACATAGGATTAGGGAGCAGTATCTTGCTTAGTAGACTCAAAGTCGTAGGATTTTAAAATTGACAAGACTTCCTTAGTTCTTAGCTATTGACTTTAAAGAGATGGGAAGATGGACTGAAGACTGGGGATTGGAAGAATCAGAAAGCAGTTGAGGGAAGGTTTAAGGAAGGGTCCTTTACAATGAAATAAAAGATAGGCAACCTATAAAACTGGTTTGGCTGAGGAGCTGCATTCCTCACTGAATGCATCCTTTCTTTTTCTTTCTTTCTCCTCCTTTTCCCCTCCCCTTCTTAGCTTATCATTTTTAGCCATGGTGCTATTACCTTATTCCTTGGCATTTCCCTATAGCCCAGGGGTTCGGGATGGAAGAGTAATATCAGAAGATGTCCTTCTAACACTTTTCTCTTAGCTTTTGGTTGTTGTCTTTAAAAAGTGTTTATAATTCTGAATCACCAATTTCTAATGTAGGGATTTATGCTGCTCCTTCTATGTCACCTGCCACTACTTGCATGGTGCATTACACCGTGGCACCTTGTGGACACTTGGGGTTTATTAAATAGAATTAAAGGGCAAAAATGCCCATCTTCTTTAGAGGTTAGTGGAATCTATGCCTTTGGAGCTTGTTGGGTACTAATCTGGTGGAAGCTACTACTTCCTCATGGTGTGACCTGGGGCAAGTTTCTTACCCTCTCTGTGCCTCAGTTTCTTCCTCTGAAAATGAGATAATAATAGTATCTGCCTCATGGGATTATGATGTGGATTAAATGAGATAATGCGCATAAAGCACTTTGGTTTGTGCTGACCTCTAGTAAACTCTAAAAAACACATTAAAAAATATTAGTTACTACCATTAATTTGTGCTATGCAGTGCTTACTCTTAGCTTGGTTAAATTTGGACAACTGATCACTTTTAGCAGCAGCAATGTAAGGGTATTTCTGTGTTTTTTAGTCATTTGATCTCAGAGCAAGGCTAATTCCTGTTAAAGATGATAGTCTTGTTACTCTTGTTAAATGTGGTGGTTTTAATGGTGTATTTATTGAGTGATCACCACACTTCAGACACTGCATTTGATACAAAGGAGCAGCACAGATTCTGTGTCAAAGTTGGGACACTGCTGGTGGCAGTGCGTGGGTGTCACCTGGAAAATGAAAGTGGGCAGGAGCTGAGGCACGCAGAGGCCAAGGAGCTCTGGAGGGAGGCCCGGCCACTGCCCAGGGCTGAGAGGCCTTCTCGGAGGAGGTGCCAAAGCTGGGGGGTCATGAAGCCTGAGAGGAATGTGGGGTGTGAGAGGAGGGGTTCCAGGAGTAGGAACAACATTTTCAGAGACCTCCATAGAGAAAGTTTTTCCCCTGGATAAAGCCTGTTTTTCCTCAACTATAGTCCAACATTGGTTTTAGGTTATACTCCCTACCCTTGCCTCTACCCCAGGTTTCTTTCTTTCCTTCCTTCCTTCTTTCTTGAAACATTAGAGCCTCTCAGTGTCCCAATATAGACCTTCTTCCCTTTAGGTATTGCTTTTTACCCAAACGAGTGTCCCCTGGTGAGCCGTAGGGATGCAGGTCTGTACAGAACAGACTCTGTAGGAACATTCCTAAGGAAACATTAGTAACATGAATTTCTTCTCTCCACAGTATGATTTTAGCTTTGATAAATGACTGAAGCTGGAGCAGCCGTGGTTGAAGTCAGCCTACACTACAGTGCACAGTTGAGGAGCCAGAGACTACTTAAATCATCCTTAGAACCGTGACCATAGCAGTATATTTTTCCTCTTTGAACAAAAAATATTTTTGCTGTATTTTTACCATATAAAGTATTTAAAAAACATGAATTGAGTTTTTGTAGCTTTCTGGTTCTCAACTTTAGCCTGAACCCCCAACATGTCAAGGTGTGTTTCATCATCTGTATATAGAAGACAGTTATTTGTATGTAGGAAGAGGACTCATTCCAGCCTTGCATGCCAAAGAGAAACAGACATGCTGTAAACGGAAAGTGTAATAGATGAGCAAGGTGGCTCTTCAGGTCAAGAGTACAAAACCATACCATTAGTCTAGGCAAAGGAAGAGAGGAACTAAACTACCCTTTTGCCTATATTGTGGCGGCTTCCTGTATTTCACATGGTTTACAGATTTAGGGGACTGTAAGCCAAATATCTTTTCATAAGAATGTTAACATAAAAATGACATTTCAAAAATATATTTATTTCTTTGCTGAATTTGTGAATCCTTACAAGCCATTACAGGTACAATGTAATTCCTGCTTATAGAAAGGAAAATAAGCCAAAACAAATTTTATCAAGAGCTTTCATTTAAAACCCACTGCCTCCACAATTACCCTCAAACTCACACATTCTCACTGGTTCTTGCTGGATCTTGGTTTTGTATTCTAATTGATCTAATTATATTTGATCTCTCTGATATGTCTTAATGGCTTTGGAGAGGTGATTTGGTAGAAGATGCTCATCAGGTTAGATGCAGGAGTAGCTGGTCATTCAACGTCGATGAAATTGATCCCGTCGCCCTCTGCTTGGTGCCTGACTGATCCTTCTGCCCTGCTGCACTGACCCCTTTATCCATGTCATGGATATAGCAATATCTAATCAAACTTGGTTCCGTGGAGTATTTGTCAATTCTTGCAGTTGTCAAGAGAAGTTAACTTAGGTTCTGTTTGCCAGATGAAGTGAACCTAACATTTTATTCTCAGTTCTCCTTTGTGTTTTAATGTCTCGGAGGCGCTGGTATTTAGGTGAAACATGGCTGTGTTTTATGACAAGAGTCCAAAGAGATTCTTCAGTCTGCGGAAGCAGAATTGGCTAGCCAGATAAGTTGTGTCGTCACCAAATATCAAATGTTGCATGTCCTTTCAGCCTTGGACTAGGCCTTACCTTGGCAGAAGCCAGAGAGCCACTAAGCAAAACTCCCTTTATGGACAGACCCACATTTTCAGGATGGTAGTATTCCCTGGCCGCACGTGAAAGGAAGGGTGAAATGGTAGCAAAGTAAACTTGGTTCTTTTGTTCTGCAAGTCTCAGAAGTTGCTCCTTGGGGTTATCTTGTATTTCTTCCAGGCAGGGCCAAGGAGCTGTAACATAGAAGTTAGTTTGTTTGCATCTCTCCTACCATTTTTTTCTTAGGCACCTTCCTCTGTTTAAAAAAAAACTGTCACTTAACTCTGGCTGTATCCCTAACTTCCAGGGCCTCTAAATGTTCTGCTCAAGCTTTTAAAGCAGTGAAGGTGTTGGAAAATTTATAACTGAGAGATAAAAAAGAAAGCTTCAGAAAGCTCAAAGGTAGTGGAGGTCTGTTGAACAAAATGTTTTATCTTCTCAAATTTTTTTTAAAAAATGGCAATATTCACAATGTTGTATTTCATATCTATAGCATAGTGATTCGAATTTTATTTTATTCCATTATAGTTTATTACAAGGTATTGAATATATCAAGTATTCTTAGTAACCAAAATAGAAACTCCATGTAGTTGAGAGCATCTGGCTGTCAGTTTACATGTCATCGGGCACAGAGCAGAGGCTGAGCAGATCAGAAAGTTGCCTTGTTTACAACAAAAGACAGGAGCTCTTTACTTCTGAAACATTAACTGTGGTTAAAAGCAAAACCACCTTTCTTATAGTGATTGTCTGTATCAAAGCCAGGAAAGGGGGTAACTCTAGTTTTTTGTTTTTATTTTTTAGGGGCTCTTCTACAAATGAAGAGGGAAAGAGCAGTGACTTTTAAGAGCTGTGGTTAAGATGCTAAAGATTAATTTTCTATGCTTTTATCTGATTGGAGAGTTACAGAGGCCCTTAGAAATCCTTTGGTCTAACTTCATCTTAGAGAGCAGAGCCCCAGGGACTGCATCTGGAATCCTGCTGGTTAGTCTAGTGTTCTCTCTCTCGTATCATTCCTCTTCCCTGTCTGTCTGTGAAGGTATTACCCAGGGCCCAGCCAGTGAAGGCTGCAGTGGCGTGCTCTTGGGTGCAGAATACTTTTATCTGTGTGTTCTGTCCTTTTCCTTCCTCCCTTCAATGGTAGCAGGTGCCCTTACTGATCATGGGACTCTCAGCTAAGAGAGCTGAGAAGAAAGATCTAAGGTACAGCTTAGTTCTTCAAAGCCTGACAGCCACCTTTTCATGCCACACAGATGACAAAGGGATAATATTGTCCAAATCTGCTTCCCCACACCTGAACTTTGAGAGATAAGAAAGCTCCCCAGTGGAACTTTTTCTTCTGTGGCTCTCCACTTTCTATCTGGTATTATGGTCATTTATATGCAATTCATCTCTCCTACTAGACTGTATACTCCTGGAGGGCAGAGTATATTCTTATTCATGTTTGTATCTTCTTTCTGTTGCTCCTGGCACCTAATACAGTGCCTTGCACACAGAAACAAATTATTGTTGAATGAACGAATAAATCTGACATAGAAGAAGGGAGATGGGTTTAGGAAGTAGACAGTTCTGGGTTGAGATTTTCAAGCCCTGCATCTTCCAGTTAAAGTTATTAACCTTCTCAAGCCTCAGTTTCCTCGTGTGCAAATTAAAGATGATACTACTTACAAGAAAAAAAAAGAAGTAAATCTGATTGTGTTGTTCTATTGCTCTTTCAGCTTGAAGTCTTAACTGATGTCCTTTACGTCAGAGAAGTCAGAAGTAATGGAGCAACATAATCAAAGTCTACCGTCTGTTTTCGAGGCAGTCACATTATGGAATGTTCTAAGACATGCTAGGTTAGGAAAGGAGACAGCTGTATTTGGTGCCACTGAGACTTGTGAAGTGAACTTTACTCACAAGTAATATTTTGTCAGTAATTGTGAAGAATTATGTACTAGGTATAATTAATTATTCTCAAATGTAAATAAAATTGTTCTAATATATGAAAACAGGCAGCAAGATAGAGAAGGGAAATCTGAAGTTCCATGATAATCTTATTATCTAGATTGGTGCCACCTGAATGTATGTACTTTAGGCCAGATTTACTATTTTGCAATGTAGTATAACAAAGCTTGAAATATTCTTGGTGTAGTAACACTACAGTGAATAAGGTCATTCAGAGAATGGGCTGTTACGCCTTTGTGAGAACTTGTCAGTGAAGCCTTTTGGGTTTAAGCCATATTTACCATGAAAATTCTAAAAGATAGTAGTCAAACTGTATTGCTGTAAATATAGTCTGAGGACTGAGGGTCATTCAGAGCCTTACGAGTTAGCATTGTGAACTTCAGTAACCACAGTAACAATTACCTTTAGGACACAGATGTTAAAGGGATTGATCACTAAGCTGGTACTGAGCTCAAATTCTCTTCAGAATAAATTCTTTGATGAAAGCTGTTTTTGCTTTCAATTGCTTCCCTCTGAAGCTGGGTGAGGAAGAGTGAGTGGGTGTGCAGTCCGAGTCAGCTGGCTAAGAGTTCAGAGGTTTGACTGTGGCGTCCCTGCTGTGTATTTGGTTTGCTGCTTCCATTTACAGAGCAATCTTGGTTTCATCTGTATTAGTTCCCATTCAATATTAGTGCCTAGTCAAAAAGTGAGTCAGCTTAACAAAAACTGAATTTGCTGTTCTCCAGCGGAGCACCTTGTGTGTAGAGGTTTGAGAGGACTAGTAAGGTACCAAGTTACACCCTACTACATCATCTCTCTCCAGCCATCTCTCGTATTCTTGGTTCACTTTTAAACACCCTGTGTTTTATCAGTTTCCACTTTGTTACTGACCCAGGGGACATAGTTCATCTTGAATATGATATTCTAAGTACCATATACTCTTAGGGTAAGAGACTGGCACTTGAACAAGGAAGGAGCTTGAGTCCTTCATGTGTTTTCACAGCTCAGTTCATCCAAATTGATAACTCTGAAGGAGAGGATGTAACAGGAAATCAAGTTTTAGTCTGATCTTATACTTGATCTGATCAACAGCCTATTTCACAGACTGGATGCAAACCAGGTGAGGGTTGAACTCAACAGCTCAATTAAAAGCAAGTTTGGCTGCCACTGCATCTAATCTCTAAGAGATCTGCAGGGCAAGGCTAGTCTTCTGGTGTAAGTCTATATAAAATACTAACTTTGGGGAAGACAATAATAGGACTAGTCCACGTTAACTGGTAATTTTCTATTTTACCAGCTACAGTAATCAAACCTAAGGGCATTCTTGTTTTATCCACAATCCACTACTTTCCCTCCCTCACCCTATTTTGAAGCCAGTACCAGACATTACATATGTAATATTTTTATAAGATAAGTCCTAATATCATACTTAAGTTGGTAACTACTTCGTACCAAACAACCAATTGGTGCTCTGATTTGCCCCACTGGCTCAAGTTTTACAATTTGTTCACATCAGGGTCCACCAAAGATCTGTACATTTCGCTTGATTAGTCTTGCTTAAGGCTCTTAATCTACTAAATTCCCTCTTTTTTCCTTTGCATTTTGTTGAAGAAATGGTTTCATTTGACATAGCAATCAAGTCATTTGTTGTGTAGAACTTGTAGTATTCTGGCTTTTGCTGATTGCATCCTCTGCCATAAACTCTTAAAAAAAATTGTAATTTTACTGTGTACATTCTCACCCATCACAATGCTGTCTGATAAGATAGTTAGATCCTTTCTTAGGTAAGGGAACTAACTCTGACAGCTTAAGTACTTGTCTAAAGTGACATGCAAGTTACAGGATTTGTATT